TAAGAGTTCTTTAATAAATGGTTTTATTGCATCAACAAATGGGTGGAGAATACCGTATGGGCCTACAATGTTAGGGCCTTTTCGTAGTTGTATATAGCCTAGGATTTTTCATTCTATTAATGTAAGGAGGGCTATAGTGATTAAAATGGGAACTAGAAGCATAAAGATATTAATTAAGTGCATTATTTGGGAGAAGATTTGAACCTCTGGGAACAAGGTCTTAAGTCTTACACAATTTCCGGGCTCTGCCATCCTAATGAATCCTTGTCTAGGGTAGGTTGGTACGGATTTACTATGTTGAGATAATTTCATTAATTGTTTGTGGGTGCTTGTGTTAAGGAAGCTCCATTTCTCTTGTCCTTTCATACTGGGAGAAATCGTAAAATAGATAGAAACTGACCTGGATTACTCCACTCTGAACTCAGATCTGGTAGGACTTTAATCGCTGAACAAACAAACCTTTAATAGCTGCTGCACCATAGGGATGTCCTGATCCAACATCAAGGTCATAAACCCTAATTGTCGATATGAACTCTTGAATAGGATTGCATTGTTTTGGGTCAATGAGACTGTAGGTGCTTTGGCTTGTAGGCCTTAGCTATAATTATTCGGAGGGTTTTTTTTATTCTCCATGGTCACCTCAACCGAAATCTATAATTTATGTTTTATGTTTTATAGCCAATAGGTTATTTGTCGTAAAAACTAAATTATGAGATTAAAGCTCCATAGGATCTTCTCGTCTTATTGTTGTATCCCTGCCTCTTCACGGGAAGGTCAAATTCACTGATTAGAAATAAGAGACAGTTGAATCCTCGTTTAGCCATTCATTCTAGTCCCTAATTAAGGAGCAAGTGATTATGCTACATTTTCACGGTCAGGACACCGCAGCTGTTTAACTCAGTCACTGGGCAGGCATTGCCTCAGTACTTGTAATGCTAGAGGTTATGTTTTTGGTAAACAGGCAGGATTCATGTTTGACAAGTTTCTTTTATTTCTTATAATCTTTCCTTTTAGCACACCTGTGTTGGACTAGCATTATGTAGTAAGTACTTTTTATAGGGGTTAATGTACTTGCATGGGTGTTAACTAACAATCATTATCTGGGCTGTTACAGGCTTGTGCATGGATAATGTAATTCTTGTTACTCATACTAACAGTATCTCATCTATATAAAAATAGATTAACTCAATTATGCCAATTATGACTATAGGACATACAATTTTGACATAATGCACACAAACATGAGGCAAGACACTCACACACATTTAAGAAAGGAAGGAAGGAATAAAATAAAAACAAAAGATTTAAAGAATGATTAGTGAGAAGACACAATGTCACCCCCAATGCAGTTTGGATTGGTGGGAACTAGCATTCTCTTAGAAATGTGTTTTAAAGATTTCACTTCATGGTCACAGGATGGTAAACCAGGCAATGGTGGGCAATGAGGACCAGAAATATCTCAAGATAGCTTACCTGTGAGCCAGGAACAGTCCAACTCTCTATAATTACAAATCTAGTCACTCATTCAGTCTTACATAATTTTTAACATTGTTGTCCTGGCTAGTTTTATGTCAATTTCACACAAGCTTCAGTCATCTGACAGGCAGGAACCTCAGTTGAGAAAATGTCTCCATAAGATCCCCATGTAGGGCATTTTCTTAATGATCAGTGTGGGAGGACCCAGCCATGGTGGCTGATGCCATCTCTAGCCTGATGGTCCTGAGTTCTATAAGAAAGCAGGCTGAGCAAGCCATGGGAAGCAAGCCAGGAAGCAGCTCCCTACATGGCCTCTGCATCAGCGTTTGCCTCTAGGATCCTGCCTCATTTCAGTTCCTGTCCTGACTTCCTTTGATGATGAGCAGAGATGTGAAAGTGTAAGCCAAATAAACCCTTTTCCCCAAACTTGCTTTTTAGTCACAGTGTTTTGTTGCAGCAATAAAAACTCTAAGTAAGACAACCAGGATTGTTTTTGCTTTTCCTTGAAAACTTTAGCTGACGTCTTTCTGGATCATTTAGGGATGGGATTGGGGTTGCAGCTACACTACAGTTCTTCCTTGATCCCAATACAAGGACCAGAGAAAGAGAGGTATGTCCTTCTACCTCCATGCTTCCTCCATCATTTGACAGCTGGTCTTCCAGATCCAAACCTTCCATTCCAAGCCAAGAACTTGCCGGGAGTGATCATTTGTATATAGGACCTCTTGTAAATATTGCCAGCCTGTTTTTGGTTTAGTTTGGTTTGGTTTGGTTTTTTGAGACCGAGTTTCTCTGTATTGCTTTGGAGGCTGTCCTGGAACTTGGTCTGTAGAGTTCCAGGCTGGCCCTGAGCTCACAGAGATCGCCTGCCTCTGCCTCCCCAGTGCATTACCAGCCTTTTAAAGGATATCCCTTCATGTTAAAAGAATAGCTACCTTCAGCCCCATTCAACCCTCTTCCCCTCCCCAGCTTCCACAATTAGATCACTTAACCCCTCCTTCTGCAACCCTTTCACCTTGCCAAAACCCTGCTTGTCTTCACCTGCTATCCTACTCATCTTCTAAGAACATTCTGTGGCCTGGTTACTAGGCAACGATCCCTCTCCTTTGATTACTCCGCCCTACCTAGTTTCCCGCCCCAACCACCTATATAATAAGCCTAAGGAAAAATAAAATCTCGTAGCTTGATCAGAAAGCTTGTCGTGCTGTCTGTTTCTCATGTCTCCTGTCCCCTCATTCCAGGTTTCTCTGGGCGTGACCTTCGTTGTGCCCTGCTGACCAGGGTAGAACTGATGGCACAGACGTGAGTCGTCACTCAGGTCAGGGTGCAAGGCTGGGCTACAGCCACGAGGGTTTCAGCTTCCTTCAGAATAATAATCCTTTTAAATAATAAAAAGATGCATTCCCACATGAGGCATTTGCTTTATAATAATGTGAGTAGATGTAGGAGTTAGGTATAAATCCATTCCTATGCAGTGTGAGGGTGTCAGAAATAGATTTTAGAATATTAAAATTCCATGCATAAATAATATTACATTTATAGTTTCCAACTGGTATATTATCTTAAAAGTAAGTAAAATCAAGATATATGGGTCTATAGGATCCCTATTAACCAAAGAAGGGATTGGAGCAAAGTTATATGTTATATGTACATATGTTAGTATGCTTGGACAACCATACCAAAATGCTGTTCTATATGGATTTGACAATAGACACTTACTTTCTCTGAGGTCTGCATCTCAAGAAGGATGCCCTATTAAAGTCAGAGAGAATTATCAGAAAATGAATTATCAAGAAGGAACATCAGTAAAAAGAAAACACCAGAAAAAAGCAACATGAGTAAAGAGAAAATGAAATTTTCAGGAAAATGATCAGAACAGGAGATCTTGCTAAACAAAATAAACCCGACTTAAAATACTGAATGTTTCCCTCCATATACAGCAGTGTGTATGTTTGTGAGTGTGTCTGTTAGTGTGTGTGTGTGTATGTGTGTGTGTGTGTAGGTCATGAAAGTAGAAAGCCAAGGAACAACAGAGGCCTCCAGAGTGGGGGAGGGGAAAGAAGCTAATGGAATACATGTAAGCAGAAGAGGATCTCTTTGTGGACACAAAGAGATATGTAAGAGGGAGTGAAGGATGTGGGAAGGCAATGATGGAGGGGAGTGAATTAGAAGAAAATATAAAGACATACGTTTATGAAAATGCCACAATGAAACCTATTGCTTGATATGCTAAATTTAAAAGTTAATCAGCAAGAAAACAAAGAACAAAATAAAGAACTAGGTATAGGCTACAAAAGTCAAATCAAAATCAGTACAATCAAAATTTAAATTTTCATTCTGGGAGATATAGTAAAAAAAAGTAATTAAGCTGCAAACTACAAGAAAATATTTCCAAACCACCTTCTTGAGAAAGAACTAGAGTCTAGAATGTAAATGAGCCCCTGAACAGATATAAAGTAAATAGTTCAGTTAGAATATGGGCAAATCATGTGGAAACATTTCACTGGAGGAGACACTAGGCTGAGGGGAGCAACACAAGACAATTCAGTGTCACTGCACCCTTAGAAAGTGCAAATCAACCCACCGTCATCACCACACCTCTACTGGCACAACCCACCATCATCACCACACCTCTACTGGCACAGCCCACCGTCATCACCACACCTCTACTGGCACAGCTAGACTGTTAGTTATACACATTGATGGGGCTGAGGAGGCAGCTGTGTGGATAAGAAAGCTTGCCGTGCCATCATGAGGACCAGAATCTAGAAGCTGGGCACCCCACCCCCATGCCATAGTTGCAGAGATTCAAAAAGCTTGATAGCCAGTCAGCCTACCTAACAGAGCAACCTTAGGAGTCAGTGACAGACCCTATCTCAAGTCATCAAATCAAAGAGTGATTGAGAAACTGGTTACTTTTGCTTTGGCCTCCTTGGACATGCACAGTCACACGCAGGAACCAGAGAGAGAGAGAGAGAGAGAGAGACAGAGAGACACAGAGACACAGAGACACAGAGACACAGAGAGACACAGAGAGAGGCACAGAGAGAGAGACACAGAGAGACAGAGACAGAGAGACAGAGACAGAGACAGAGACAGAGACAGAGACAGAGACAGAGACAGAGAGGAGAGTCAGCTTCCTGGGTCTGTGTTGTTGCATATTAAGACACAATGGAGTCAAGTGTAGTGAAGGATACAAGGGACCACTTCACCGCAGCTTCCTCTTGTGTAATTTTGTTTTTAATTGTGTTGGGTGGCTGTCGCTCACCTTATTTCTCCTGAGGAGACTGGATGAGAAGTGGAAAACTCAAGTCTCCAGTTTCAATCTAACATGAGGAAGGGCTAAGAGGATCTGACAGCAGGTGGATGGCGGGTTCTGCCCATCCTCTCCAGCCCTAAGCGCTCTCCAGATTCTGACTTCCTGCTACCCGGTGCCAAGACACCACACAGTCAGGGGCACTGAGGCTTAGACATTCCCACTGGTCGCAGAACTTTTGTGAACTTTAAACCCTCCTTGGGTGAGATCCCTAGCCCCGCCTCCTGCTCCCTCTGGTTAAGTCTGGGCGCAGCCTCACTCCTCCGGAGTTCTGCCCCAGCGACTGAGACTTAGCCTTGGATCCGGCAGTTCAGGCTCAGCATGCGGGCACTCAACATCACCGCGGAGCAGTTCTCCAGGCTGCTGAGTGCTCACAACCTGACTCGGGAGCAATTCATTCATCGCTATGGGCTGAAGCCGCTGGTCTACACTCCCGAGCTGCCTGCACGCGCTAAACTAGCCTTTGCGCTGGCGGGAGCACTCATTTTTGCCCTGGCGCTCTTTGGCAACTCTCTGGTGGTCTACGTGGTAACCCGCAGCAAGGCTATGCGCACCGTCACCAACATCTTCATCTGCTCCCTGGCGCTCAGTGATCTGCTCATCGCCTTCTTCTGCATCCCGGTCACGATGCTCCAGAACATCTCCGACAAGTGGCTGGGTGGTAAGACAGTGATTACACGTGTGCACGCGCGGACACACACACACACACCACACACCACCACCACATCCACACTTTCTCTGTCAAATTGAATCCTGTGCCCTTTTTGGAAATGCCCTTGGAACCTTGTAGATAAAAAGGTGGGGTGAGGGGTTGTCTATAGGGTTCAGTCCAGACATCGGTTGAAGTGAGAAGGACAGTTGAGGGAACCTGTGTCTCCACTTATTTCAACCATTTTCCATAATTACATAGTGAGAGTTCCTCTATTCTTTTAAATAAAATAATCAAAAAGATAACCTTTAAAAATCTCTTCTCAATTTCAGCAAAAACTACCCTGAACAAGTCCTTTGTAGAAATTGTACTAATAGAATCTTGTGAGAGAGCTGTAGAAAGTGTATCCCCTCTTGACTTCTAAGAGGAACATGAGATTCCCCTCATTAGAAGAGGGACAGAAACAGAAAGAACCTGTTGATTTGGGCACTGATATTGGAACAGTACGTGGGCACTGAAAAAAATAAGAAACTAGATTTTCTCTTCTTCCCATAGACAGTGTCTGTGGGTTTGTGTGTCTGTGCATTTGGTGTCTGTGGGTTTGTGTGTCTGTGCATTTGGTGTCTGTGCATTTGGTCTGCATTTGTGTGCTGTGTTGCTCCTCGGGAGGTGTACTGCCTATGCCCATTTTCATAAATAAGTGTGTCCTTTCAACTACACAAACATCCCTAGAAAGTGACTCTACGTAAGAGAGATGGCTCATTATGCTTGACACTACCATTTCCACCTTTTGCTGTTGTCCTTCTAATGCATAGGTAGAGTTCTCCACCCCACCATTGGTCACTGGAGATCTCCTACCTGTTTCTTGGCCACTACCGTTTTCCACTAATTTGTACTGTGTTTATTTCAGCAGGTGGGAATGTTACGTTGTTGACTCTTATCTCATCTCTCATATGTTTCGAAAACATCATTAACTATTGAGCATGCAGCATTGACTTGACTGTGACGATGCAAAAGATCGTAAACTTGTCCACAGATCAGACACTTTCTCACAATATCTAGTGAAATCAATGTGTTTGAACATTTAAAATTTACCACTAAAACTGGCTCCAACAAATTGCTGAGAAAATTCTGGATGCTTGCACAGGACTTCTAGAGGAAGCATCTTAAGTTACTACTTCTGAGTGTTTGGACACAGATTTAGAAAGCAATTACACTCCACTTGAAAAGGAACATAAGCAATATGGGATCATTTAATAGTAGTCTAAAGACTAGATTGTCCCTTAACTCTAAGCATGCTAAATGGGCCTCACAGGGCTTCAGTTTTTCAATAGAGTATTGAGGAGTGGAGAACTTTGCACCAGAGCAGAGCAGATCATTAGCCCCCAGCCAAAGTGAGGTGTGGTTCCCAGGGTGGGACAGCAATTCTTCCAGGTAGAGGACAGAGGGAGGAACAGCCACGGTTAGCTTCATGCTTCTGTTTCCGTTGCTTCCGGCTTTATAGGAGAAATTTCACTTTAATTTCTCAATGCTGAAAAGATGGTAATGTGTTGCATATTTGTGTTGCAGGGTTAGTATGAGAAATTTCACTTTAACTTCTCAATGCTGAAAAGATGGTAATGTGTTGCATATTTGTGTTGCAGGGTCAGTATGAGAAAGCATAAATGTGCTTTGAAAACACTGGTCCTATTGCACTTTGGGGGGGGCAGGAGGAGGGTCGTAGCAGGAGGATTGCAAGTTTTTGGCAAGCCTGGGCTACATAGTGTGTTTACATAGGAGAGCCTGGATCACAAAAACAAAGGAGAGAGAGACAGAGAGAGAGAGAGAGAGAGAGAGAGAGAGAGAGAGAGAGAGAGAGAGAGATCATGCTGTGAAAGTATATGATTAATTCTACTAAGAACTATTGGTTGGGATTGCTCATATTTATACAACACTAGATAAATAACGGTCTATAAGTATACAACAGAAAAATACAGTTCAGATGATAAGAAAAAAGCATGAAGACAGGTAGGGAGAAAATTTACTTGCATGCCATAGATAGGATAATAATTACAAAGCTGTCATGATGTATCACCAAAGGAGAGTTCGCAAGAATAGAAAAGATGAAAATTAATACATAAGCTATTTGAAAAATCTACTAAAAAACACTCCAATATGACAAAGTATCACCTTGAAGCTACAAAAAGTAAATAAAGCCTGCAGTCCATTTGGGGTCTCAGGGAATACAAGAGGCCCCAAAGTAAGCAAAATTAAAATGTAATAGATGAAGATCCACCCTGTTGTTGAAACTGTCCTCAAGGAAGTGACTTCTGAACAGAGAAGGATGTCTGGGAGCTTTGCCACCCTGTAGTTTGGGAGAGAAAAAATGCTGTGTTTTAAGAAGGCTGTGTAAGGTGTTTCAGGAAAATTTATCAAATGGGAAATGATGGGAAGACACAGAGAGCAACCAGGGAAGGAAATGTGTTGGGTAAAAGTCCAGAATATGAAGACCTGCCATAGGGGGTGGTAGGAAAAGCAAAACATCTATGTGGGGCACACCAGGAGGAAATGATAGCAAAAAGTAGCTGCTTCCAGGAAGGGCAGGGTGGCTCCAGGAAGGGCAGGGTGGCTCCAGGAAGGGCAGGGTGGCTGCCTGGTATTATCGCATCCTCTTCTGCTGTGACTGTACCTGCTGTCCTCCACAGAGAGGCTGCGGATATGGATTTTATGACTTTGACATGTAACTCAAATTAAAAAGCAAAACGACCATAAATAATTCACACTTCTAGTTAGTGAGTTCTCTAACAAGCCACTCTCCCAAACATTCCAGACAGTAGTAGGTGGGCAACTGCTATTTCTTTTCAGTGTACTATGTCCCTCAAGAGGGACCAGCAGCACCCGGGTCAGCGCCTGCATTTTAACAAGATCCCCAGGTGATGAGTAATGCAAATTGAAGTTTGGTAAGCACTGGTTCTCAGATCCACCCACACAGAAAACCTTAGAAATTGCCTTAGTCAGCCTGGAGTCCAGCGACAGGACTCTCCGGAACTAGGGGCCAGCTGGAGCTGCCGGTGGAACCCAAGGTCCTCCATCCCATTCAAGGCCTGCTTTAGGGATGCCATGCGACTCCCGACTTGTAATCAGTCCTAGGGGGCACACCACAGAACTCAACAGCTACAGCTGATGGCTGCGAAACAGATGCTCTATTTGTCTTTCCAGAGTGGGACAGAACAAAGACATTGAGTTTCTTTTACTTTTTCTGATGTCTTACTTTCTTTCCTATTGCTGTGATAAAACACAGTGCCCAAGGCAGCTTACAAAAGAAAGCATTTAATTTGGCGTATGGTTTCAGAGGGTTAGGGTCCCTGATGCTGGAGTGAAGGAACAGCTGAGAGGTTCCATGTTGAGACACAGCCACGAGGCAGAGAACACGCTGGGGATCCCATACGTCTCACCAAACCCTAAAGCCCACCCTCAGTGGCACACCTCCTCCAACAGGACCACTCCTCCCAACCCTTCCCCAACTGTCTCACCAACTAGAGACCAAACATTCAAATATGTGAGCCTATGTGGCCGCTTTCATTGAAGGCCCACCCCTGCCTTCCTCTTGTCGGCTTTCCTTTCCTTTAACGTCTTACTTTTTATTCATTTTTAGCTCACATACAAAATAACAGGTTTCAGATGGGTGGTGGTGTCGCACACCTTTAATTCCAGCACTCAGGAGGCAGAGGCAGGTGGATCTCTGTGACTTCAAGGCCAGCCTGGTCTACAGAGTGAGTTCCAGGGCAGGCTCCAAAACTGGAGAAATCCTGTCTCCAAAAACTGAACCAAAAAGCAAAAATAGTAACAGGTTTCATTTTGACATTTCTTACTCAGATAAAACATTGTAATTTGCTTATGCTCACCCCTGATATCCTTTCTCTTCTCTTCCCTCCTTGTGCTGGACCCTTTTCTTCTCCCAAATTGTCCGTGGTCTGTTTCCATGTCTCACTTTATATATATTCCACGTAGGAAAGCATATAATATTTTATCTCTTTCCTCCCATTAGCCTTTCTTCTTGTTCTCTTTCCCACTCTCTAGATTCCTTCTCTCTCCTTCAGGATCCATTTTAGAGAAAATATGAAATGTATGTCTTTCTTACTTGTCTCCCTAAATCTGAATTATTTTGTCTAACACAACCATTTTTGGTCCCGTCTACTTTGCTGCAAATAACAGTTTTATTCTTCTCTGTGACTGAATTCAACTCCACTGTATGTATGCTGCACATTTTCTTTATGAACTTATCTAATAAACAGCTAGGTTGATTCCATATTTTAGCTATTGTGATCAGTATCAGTATGGCATTAAACATAGATGAGCGAACGCCTCTGTGGTTTGCTGACTCTGAATCCTTCAGTTAGAGACCCAAGCACAGTTCCCATGGATCATGTAGTTACTGTATTGTTAGTTTCTTGAAGTCCCTCCATACTCATTTCCACGGTGGCTATTTACCAGTTTGCATCTCATTAGAAATGTGTGATGACCTCTCTTTTCCCTCACCCCTTACCTGGGTTGGGATGCAGAATCAAAGCACTTTCAATATGCATTTCCTGATGGCTAAGACTATTGACGGGTTATCTTTCCAGGTATTTATTGGCCATTGGTATTTCGGCATTCCTTTGACTCACCACTGTCTAGGAATCCTTCCAAAAGGAGGGGCAGGAGAGGAGGCTGTCTCTGTGAGCAACATGCACTTGTGGATTTTCTTTATACTGACTCAAGTGTGGAACTGTGTCACGAACAGCTTCCGGGAATGGGGCCTGGAAGCTCTGTGTCTGCCCTCCCTCTGATTTATTTGGCCAGTTGTCAGCACTGAATTGCCTTTCATTCTCCCCAGGCAGCCAGCAATGTACCTATCCTTCTTCCTCCTCTTTTTATCTGTTCATGCTGCCTAAAGAGCTCCTCTGAATTCCCTGCCTATGCTGCTTCCAGATCATTTAAAACAATGGATTTGTCTCGGACCAGCACTGAAGATCAGGGTCCCCTTCTCAGTC